GGTCGTCTACTGTGGTGAAATCTTGACCCAGGAAGGCAAGGAGAGAAAGGTCAACATCGACTTCGAGCCTTTCAAGCCCATCAACACCTCCCTCTACCTCTGTGACAACAAGTTCCACACCGAGGCTTTGGCCGAGCTGCTCGAGTCAGACCAGAAGTTTGGTTTCATTATCATGGACGGTAACGGAGCCCTTTTCGGAACCCTTTCCGGAAACACCAGAGAAGTTGTGCACAAGTTCTCTGTCGATCTTCCCAAGAAGCACGGCCGTGGTGGTCAATCCGCTCTGCGTTTTGCTCGTCTTCGTGAGGAGAAGCGTCACAACTACGTCCGCAAGGTTGCCGAGTTGGCCGTCCAGAACTTCATCACCAACGACAAGCCCAATGTCGCCGGTCTGATTCTGGCTGGTTCTGCCGATTTCAAGACTGATCTTAACGCCTCCGACCTATTCGATAACCGTCTGGCCACCAAGGTCATCAAGGTTGTGGACGTTTCCTATGGTGGTGAGAACGGTTTCAACCAGGCTATCGAGCTTTCCTCCGAGACCCTCGGCAACGTCAAGTTCATCCAGGAGAAGAAACTCATTGGAAAGTACTTCGAGGAGATCAGCCAGGACACCGGTCGCGTCTGCTACGGTATTGAGGATACCCTCAAGGCTCTGGAGCTGGGTGCCGTGGAGGTCCTCATCGTTTTTGAGAACCTGGAGATTACCCGCTGGAAGCTTAAGGACAGTCAGGGTGCTGAGCACACCTTGCACACCACCAAGCAGCAGGAGGGCGGTGACCGTGCCATCTTCATGGACAAGGAGACTGGCCAGGAGATGGAAGTTGTCACCCAGGAATCCTTCCTCGAGTGGATTGCAGAGCACTACAAGGACTTCGGTACCAACCTCGAGTTCGTCTCTGACCGTTCCACCGAGGGCAACCAGTTCGTCAAGGGCTTCGGTGGTATCGGTGGTATTCTCCGCTACAAGGTGAACTTTGAGCAGTTGAATGAGGTTGATGACGACGATGACTACTACGACGGTTCGTGATCTCCCAGTACCTAACCCGCCAACTACAAGACGCTGACCTTTCTAGATTGACCAACCGAGGCCCTCGAGAACGAGGGATCGACTCAAGTACCGTCTCTGAAGCATAACAGCGAAGAGGAATCCGCGCGCACAGCGTCGCAGCCCGCGCCCGCGCCCAAGCCGAACGTCGCCCATCAGCTCCTCGCAGACAGGAGCCCGATGAGCCCGGCTCACCTCACCCACCAAGTGGCGCGCCCGAGCCCGCTTCGGTCTGTTATGAAGGCCTCTTGAGTTGAGACCTAGTCTACATGTAAGACCATACTCTTGGCCACTACAGGAACTGTGCAGCTAACAAGTGTGCTAGATGATCCTCTCACAGACAGAGGACACTCAAGAGCGGTCAGGAGGCGACCGCTTGTTGATCGCGACTAGATAGAATGAAAATGAAATTAAATGCCCACCCAGTCCTTTCAGGCTTGTTCAAACTTGTTCATGAAATGTGAAAGATGCTTTGTTCCACAAGGGATGCTGTGGTTGTGTGACTTGCCACCCCAGCTCTTGCACCTAGATGCATTATCCTTGGGAGCTGCTCTTATTCTCACCTGATAATGACTTCACCAATGTACACTCAGAGTCGCACTCCTTACAGTGAGCCATTGGTGCGACTTTCATACGATTTCTTGGATATTTGCTCAAGGCATTCTTATCCGATATGCAACTAGAACCTATGAATTGGTTATTTGCATATTCATGACTATCTCACTCGATCTCGTAACATCTCACTTACTGAGAGATGTGTGTATAAGTCGTCAATGCCAACTTCAATATGAGACCTCTGATTCCCGGTATTCATGCCTTGCGCCGGGGATTCGCAACCCAAAATGCACCCTCATCAGTAGATGCAGGAATCGCCAGAATCCTGCATACCAGCAAGGAGATCCCAGACCACCTCTCACCAACACCCTCACATCTCCTCAACCTCCTCTTTTCAGACATCCTCACCTCGTCGACCGAATATCCGCCAAAGTACCCATCATCATCCTCCGAGCCTGCCGCCCCATTGCCGCAAGGCCATCACCTGGCCTATTTTCCCCTCCAATCGCCGCCCTCATGGCTGATGCCGGACGGCACTGATCCGGACCACTGCCCCGGCGCGCCCTTTACGCGGCGACTCTGGGCGGGCGGCGAGGTCCGGTTCCGCGAGGGCTGGGAGGATGAGCTGCGCCTTGATGGGCGGAGGGTCGGCTGCATCGAGAGCGTGGAGGACGTGAGGGCCGAGAAGGGCCGGGTGTGGGTCGAGCTTTGGCGGCGGTATGGGGTATCTGTTGGTGGTCGTGGTGAGAGCGGTCCGGCAGTTGAGGAGAGGAGGACGCTGGCTTTTCTCCCCGATGTTGATGTTCCTGCTCCAGCGCGACGGAGTTTGAAAGGTAAGAGGTGTCAGCGGCAAGACCGCAGTCTCATTTCCACGCCGTGGAAAAATGCTTGAAGAACGGAAAAGTATTAATACTGAGACTCGACAGCACCGCATAAGCCGACGGCCTCTCTCACTCTTACGCCGACGCAGAATCTTCTCACCAATTTCAGCGCGCTGACGTACAACGCGCACGCGATCCATCTAGATCCGGCGTGGGCTGCGCAAGAGGGTCATCCGGCTACGTTGGTCCACGGGCCTCTGTCTCTCGCTTTAATGCTCGCGTTCCTGAACAGGCAGGGTAAGGGGCAGAACGTGCATTGGTATGGGTACCGGAACCTGGCGCCGCTGTATTGTGGTCGGCAGATGACGCTTTGCCTGCGAGAAAAGGGGGAGAGCGAAGGGGAGAAGAAGTGGGATGTTTGGATCGAGGGTGCTGATGGAGGGATGGCGGTTAAGGGGGCCGCTACGACTGTTGATGGTGTATGAGAGAGCAGCGATGGACCGTTGGCACGGAATATTTATGGCCATGGCAAGAGGGAATCCGGATAACGGTCTGCCCTGATTCATATCAAGCTTCTCAATTATGGTTTGAGGCCTTGGAAACGCTTTTCCAAAGTCCTGCTGTAGTCATATCAAAAGCAAGGGTAAAAAGAATTACATTCATGAAAGCCAAACATTTAATAATGTGACACTTGTATCCTCAATGTATCGTGTTCTTCCGTCCTCACACCGGCCCGCTGGCATCTAGAACGCCGTTGCCATTCACTCAACCAAGCTCTACTGGGCTGTTGCCGCTGTTGACAGTGTTTCTCGGCGGCGGCGGCGAAGGCGTCAGGTACGCCTCACTCAGAAGAGAAGGCGAGGCTGCGGATACAGAATGGTATTTGTATCGCTCCTCGTGGCCAGAATATCGAGACTGGTTGTCCAGAGGAATGGATACCTCTGGTTGAGAGGACATTTGAACCCTCTGAGTCGGATCCTCTGACGACGACCCCGAATCACGGGCCCTCGATGCTCGTCTCTTTCGTACAGTAAGCCAGACGACGACGCAGACCCCAATTACCACCGCGACTATGCCCCCAACAGCGCCGCCAACTATTGCAGGTATTTGGGATGCAACATTCGGTGGCGATGATGAAGGTATCGGCTCTTCTTCTATCAAGGTTGTTGAAGACGGAGAGGACGATGTAGATGAGAGCAGGGTAGTATCTGTTCTAGACGTTGTAATAGTGGCGGATGTTGTTTTGGCCTCGAGGAACTTGTCCTCGGCTGTCTGTTGGACTAGATCTATGCTCGTTTGTCCGCGATGCTCTTTGAGCTGGCATCCAAGGTACAAATTCCGGCTGCTCGCGTCGATTTCTTTGTAATATGTCACACACTTCGGAAGCCAAACACCATTTGACCTGCTAGAGACAAGTCTGTCAGTTATGGAGTCATTCCTGAAAAACGAGTCGTAGACAAACCAGCAGCGGGTATTGGGGCCAAGGCTACTCTTGCATTCGGTAGCCGTCCCATCAAAGCACGTGGCAACATACACACTGCCGCACATCATATAGCCATCGTCAGTCCGACACGGTACCATAGCGGCGCATCGAAGAGGGTATGTTGCTGATGTACCAATATCAGCATGTGCCTTAAGATTCTGAGCCGTACTGGTCCTATGGCCCGGAAGGAAAGGTCTTTGAGTACTCACTCCATGGAAGTGTTATGATCCCGCATGTGTTGCTACTAAGCGTGCGAGCCGCCAATTCCGCTGCCCGCAGATCGAGCTTGTTTCTGGGTGCCGAAGTTGGAGCCGGGGACGACCCGTAGTAGTCATCTTTCGGTGAAAACGTTTGCCGTGCTATGAGGTTTCCATTCACATTCGAATACTCCGCTGTCGTCATGGGTAGCCAAATCGCCGCAGCGATGACCACACGAAAAAGGGAATTCATCACTGAGCTGAGCTGGAGAGAAGGTGGTAGGGCAGGATTTGTGCTTAGATTGGTGTTTGGGTAGGTAATACACTCGATACAAGGGAGCACGGTAGTTTTGAGGACTTCAAGTCCCTGGGGAGTAGAGCAGCCTGCCCGGACGCCGTTCAGCGCGTAAACTCCTCATTCTTGATATACACCTTCTGGGGGCCAAGCTACCAGAAGGAATCAGGCTGCTGTGTAACTGTCAGCCGCAAACAGCATATTTCAGTAATCGGGAGCTCGTCGAATATTCCAATGAAGGCTCGGTCGTGGAAGCCTCTTAATGTCTTGCCAAGGTATGCGAGGCATGCTCCCGGAAGCTATGCTGTCGATGGTTCGCTCATCAACAGTGGCTGCTTATGTTCAAAGAGAGTGTGTAGCCAAAATGATCTTGAATACGAGCTGTAGTGCCAACGCCAGCATGGGTAGATGATAAGGCGGAGCGCACTTAATGATGCCCATGCTTGAGCCAATACACACCTGCTTGGTTGGCCTCAAGTCCGGGGGAAGCATGACAAGCGGAAACCTGTTAAGAGCAGTGTCTGAATCTGTGTCAGGTCCTCGCTGTTACATGTCACTTCTATCAAATGAACCACAGAAGTCACGAGCAAGTCGAGTCAAGATGATTCCGACAAACACCGAGGCTTCCTGGCATCGAGGCTCCCTCGGCTTCATCCTCACTTCGTTCTTTTTGTATCTGACTGGTAAGCATATATGAAGAAAGGAACACAAGCCACTGAACACAGTGGAACAGACCCCTAACTCCTTCGCTATATGTGGTATAATAATCCGACCACCTCCAATGTGCAGCCTCACAGACGCCCACTTCATCTTTCGATGGCTCAAGTCCCAAGCTCTGCCGGTCTTCGGTTGTCCACCACGTTGCTTCCCTGTACTTCAGCGAGAGGGGTAGGCGATGGTGTCGGCCCGCGTTGCGACTTGTAAGGGTCCTCGTGCTCTCCATAACCAGCTTGAGGGTAGTATGGCTGAGTTTGCTGCGACTAAGAGCCCGGTGTCAGAGGCACCTGCGACCCGTCGTTCCTCGAGCGTTTCCTCCGCCTCAATATCAACCAGACGATGACGCAGACCGCTATGGCCACCACGGCAACTCCACCGACCACGCCTCCGACGATGGCACCTGTCGAGTTCGAAGAGGAGCCGGACGGAGGTGACGTGGCTGTCGCCGTGTCCGAAGGATCTACGCTCCTGGTCGCGTCTGGGTCGTCGGACTCCGTACCTATCACCATGATCCTCTGTCCACTGTAGGCAGGGTCGCCACATCGTAGCCATGTCTTCCGTCCCGAGTCGTCGGGTCTCAGGAGTGTCAAACAATACGGTAACTGGCTCGGGCCTGATCGAGTGCTGTAAACCAGTTGGCGCTTGAAGTCATCGAAGTTTGAGCGCGCAAATGAGCTCAATACTCTCAAGGAGTGTTGTCTGAAGGAGATGGAAAGAATTACCAGCAAAGCGCTTTTGCGCCCAGAGAAGAAGTCGTCTGCTAGCAAACAGGCGCGGTCCCATCAAAACACTGCGTCTTGAGGACGTTGCGATATCCAAATCATGGCCCCGAGCTATAACAATCGTTGCTCACGCACGAGAACGTCTCGAACGCTGACAGCAAGAAAGATATCGTCAGTCCAATTCGGTGAAGTGCAGGAGCCATGGGTCAAGACTCACTACCATTATCAAGACGGCGAACTCTACATGCATTGGGAGGAAGACTCCTAGCTTCGAGCATCATCTGCCTCGACTCCTCGCTGGGAGCTGTTGTTGGCGCCGGGGAAAGTCCAGCGCGATGCTCTAGGAACCCCATTGCGAGCGTTTGCTGGGGATGTCGCGCTTCGAGGCCCATGGCGAGGTTCAGTGGCAAGAAACCCGCCACTGCGATTAATGAATGGATATAGAACATCGTCAAGCGCATACAGGCAGTCTCTTTTGTCGTGAATCAAACCTAGAGCCAGCGGCGGACGTAAGACTCCGCGTCTTATTTTCGATGAACGACGACGAAGTAAAAGTGAAGAATTTGTGAAGTCCTAGCAGGGAGCGCAGTTTCCCTACACATCTCACAGAATCTGACACGCGCGGACCTAGACTTCGATTGAGTGAGAAGTGATCGCCAATGATTGATTGGTGTCTCTGTCTCATACTCAGCCTCTTCCTCATTGCCCAGCTTGCGAAGTGGTCGTTCAATGAATATCGGGCAGTGCCGATACCACGACGTCGATTGCCAGGGGTAACAGGGCAGACTCGAATCTTACTGCGTCTAGAACGTAGCATCTAATTTAAGTCTGACCTGCTATCTGCAAACTAGGTATTTGATCAGCTCTCTGCGGGCATCTGAGTGGTCATCTAAGCCCGTCCAGCCACACGACTTAGACCACAACGAGGAGAGCCGATGACCAGTTTCATCACGGCCGCTGAGACATTTGTATCGATATCACGGGATCTCGAGTGTCTTGCTTAAGAAGAGATGTCAGCCATGAGATTTCGAAAGGCACTCATCTTGAAATACCTACATGAGTACTCAGACACTCAAGAGCCACTTTTTCATGTGAACTGCACCAAAGAGACGAAAACGTAACCGCAGGAAGTGTCTATTATTGCTCGGATCTAATCAAGTTGGCCACGCTCTCAACTTCTCAAGGTAGCACCACCCAATCTTGAATAGAGCACTGTATGCCCCTTCTTGCTACTGTCCATGTAGAAGTCCATAGAAAAAAGGGGATCCAGATGCAGGGCCATTCTCGCCTGTCGCTCAATCTCGAAACCATTGCCAAAAAAAATCGCGTCGGAGTGCTACCTCCAAATTCCAAAAAGAAGAGAGATGTCTCTCCTCAGATGCAACTAAAGAACGGTTAGTAGCTGGCCGGCGGAATAGTTGCCCATGCTCAACTCACTATACTTCTGCTTCTTGCAGACTTGCATCAAGAGCCTCCGCAGTCTCATAAGGACTGCCAGTTGCCCCATGTGGTTATTCGCCTGTAATGTCGTCTCCATCAGACCAAGTTCCGATGAATTTAGTATCCTGCGTAGGTGAAGGTACCATCAAGTGTTGCCAATGACCTGTCTAGAGGCCCTCAACGTGACCCTCCATGACGGTGTCTTCAATATCAGAAGAATACTGAGCCATGATGCCAGGATCATAAAGAGCGCCGGTCTTGACGTTTCCTTCCATGTCAGAGTCGAACGAGTCGTTGTTACCAAGGCTTGGATTCTTGCTGGCCTCGGTCATATTGTTGACTCCGTTCTCCTCTTTGGCGTTCATCTCAAGGGATGCGCAGACCCCATTGACGATGGCCTTCAAGATGTCATCGCAGGCATCTTCGATCTGGAGGTCAGACGGCAACTCATCTCCAAACAGCTCCGCATAGCGCCGGAGCATCTTCTTATTGCTTCTGATAGCCTGGCTGTAACGCGCACCGGCCATTTTGCCTCCGACAGGCTTTCCACCAGTCTAAGCTTCATTGTCAGCAAGTGTTCACCAGAAACAAATTTCGAACTTCAGTACGAAGAGGATGGTCTTACCGGAGGGGAGTAACTGAACGCAGTTTTCTCTCTGGTTCCAGCTTTGATGACTCTGTCTTCCCAGCGGATCTTGGTCTTCAGCTCAAAGAACTTTACGAACCTGCCGAATTCATTCCGGAAGGTTGAGCAACAGCCACTGGGGCGCTCAATGCCGCGCTCAATCCACCTTCCGTCGTTCTTCTTGTGGAAAAGCTTCGCACCGAACCAGTACATGTGCGGCCGGGAGGAGTGGGACCGGAAGAGCTTCAGGTTTTAGCAGCATATGTCAGCTGGGACTCGGTTCAAGTTTGTGAGGGCCCTTCGGGAGGGCCCTAGGCTTGTGACTTACATAAAGTTCGTACTTCTCATGCAGAGCTCCGTCCTCATTCTCTGATGATCGGAAGAGATCAACCTTGTACTTGAAGGAAGTCGAGTCTTTGGCGACACTGTACCACTCTAGATTGATACGTCAACTGTGCTCAAGGAGTAGGACTAGTGAATATTCACTGACCAGGACGGATCCATCTGTAAGCCTGGTCTGCAGCCCGGGCTCTTTTGACCTCCGCTTCGGCCTCCTTCTTCGCTTTGGTTTTCATGGTATCGTATCTGTAGATCTCCATCGGAAGCTTCTTGTTGTGGATGCAAGAGTCTCTGAACCATTTCCAGTGCAAGATGTGAATATTTTTTGCACCCTTGGTGCTGCTCCTTCTCTCTGCCTCTTTGACTGAAAATTGACAAAGGCAATTAGCTTTTGAGCAGCGAAAAGAAAGAAAGACATAAATTGTGATGAAAAAAGCAGACAATCAATATTGTGAATGGAAAGGGAAAGGTAACCTTACTTCGGTGGTGCTTCTGTGCGGACTCGAACTCTTCATTGGTGAAGAGAAGATGAGTTGTCGACTCGCTCAAGTGACGTGAGAACTCGCCACTGCGGAGATTAGTCCAATGGAACACCTGCTGTCTGGTAAAATCATCAGGGATGCCTTCGGCAGTGGTGATGACCAAATCTTTGAAGATAGCTGCGACCATTGTGAAGAATTAACGGTGGTCGATGATTGTAAGTGAGGGTTGAAAAGGGTAGTCGTCAGTTGGTGACTATGGATCAAGAGAAGGAAGGTCTGTAATGCCGCTGGTGAAGGTGAGGGGAGAACGACTTGATGTTGTAAGCGAGTTGAGAAGGGTGAAGAGTTGAAGTGAGACTGCGTGAGAAAGCAGAGAAAGGGTGTTATCGGTTGGTAAGAGCAAGCAAGGTCTCTAATACCAATGATGAAGGTGAGGGGAAGAACGACTTGATATCGTTAGTGGGTTGAGGATGAAGAGTTGAAGTGAGTGCGTGAAAAAAGGGAAGAGGTATTCTCGGTTGGTAAGAGAAAGTAAGGTCTCTGATACCGATGATGAAAGTGAGAGGAGGTCTGGAGTCGTGAGTGAGGTGGGCAGGGTGAAGAATTGGAAAAGAGGATGAGTGAGAAGAAGTCGGGACGGGAAAGGAGTGGCTGTTTTATACGTGGAGATTTGAGGGAAGGAGAAAAAAAGAGCCAGGGCGACTGAGAAGGAAGGAGGGCACGACTGGAGATATGGAAAAATGATCGGGTGGAAGGGACGACAGGCATGAAGGATTCTCAAAGCCCTTCAAAATGTTTCGAGAGATTAGTTTGATGCGGTATATCGAAATACAACTGAAAATGCGGGACACATCGATCTTGTTAGGAGCCCTTGTGTTATAAATATCGTCAATCATAGCCCTGCTATCTATCTTAAGGCAAGATCGTTTCTTCAAACAGAAGCAGGTAGCCCAACGCTGGCCCCTACTTAAGTATCTCGCAGCAGTCTGGGCTCATGCGAGAACGTGGAAGTAAGTGACTATTGAACAACATAGAGAAAGCGGCTTCACGACCAGACGTGGATATTCAAATACAATGCACACAGTCTTCAATGTAAATTATTTGGTAGAATCTCAAATACTCATTCATTCATTCAGCGAACACTTATCTGAAGCTCTTCGCATTCTTGACAAACGTCCTAATCTTCTCCAAACTCTGCTTACCGTCCTCCTCCACTCCGCTGCTCACATCAACACCTACGATACGGTCACCAAACTCCCCAACAGCCTTGACTGCCTCGAGCACATTGTCGGGGCTGAGACCGCCGGCAAGAATGACTTGCAACTCTTGGTCCTTTGCCAAAATATCCTTGACACTGGAGACGTCAAGGAGCTTGCCTGAGCCGGCTCCCGAATCGAGCAGAGGAATGGTGTGGTAGCCTCGTTTCCCGATGCCAACGTTGCTCGGCTTGAAAGCCCGAATAACAGGTACGGGGATCAGGTTGGCCCACTCAACTGGCTCGTTGCCGTGGAGCTGGACAATGTCCAGGTTGAAGCGCTTCTGCTTCTCGAGAACCTCGTCTAGGGGCTGGTTCTGGAAGATACCCGCGAGGAGCGGACGCGAGCTCGATAGCCTGGCGACAGACGCAGTGTAGTAATCTGTAGCAGATTTTGTAGGGATACTTGTTGCTGCGCGTGCAGCAGTAGGCACGAAAGTGTGTACTGCTTCTGAGATGGCTGTGGCAGTTTCGTCGGATATGCAACGCTTCGCACCTGGAACCAAGCAAATTCCCACAAAGTCTGCGCCAGCCTTGACAGCCTCAAGGGCAGCCTCGGGAGTTCGCGTTCCGCAAATCTTGACAAATAGGGGCTGGGTCTTGACCGGTTCAGGCTCAGCGTCTGTACCAGAGCAGAGTTCTCTAATGAACTTGGTTGTGTCCGGCGCTCTGACAATGGCCTCTCCCACGAGAACAGCATTGACTCCATCGTTCTTGCAAAGAATGACATCCTGGTGGCTATTGATACCACTCAGGGCGCAGATGATGGTATTTTCCGGGACCATGCTTCTCAATCTACTTGTTGTGTTCATATCGACCTCGAAGCTCTCCAAGTTGCGATTGTTGACGCCAATAGCCTTGGATCCAAGTTTCAAGGCTGTCGTCATCTCCTCAGCTGTCTGAACCTCAACCAACGGCTCCATTCCCAGGGAAAGGGAATACTTGTACAGCCTCTCCAGAAGTTCCGTCTCCAGCATCTTGACAATGAGCAAGACGGTATCGGCGCCAGCGAGTCTGGCCTCAAGAATCTGGTACTCCTCAAAGATGAACTCTTTGCGGAGGATCGCTGGTCTGTTGGGCATACCATCCAGAACTTGCCTAACGGCCCTCAGATCCTCGATGCTGCCCTTGAACCACTCAGGCTCGGTCAGCACGGATATAACGCTGGCACCTGCAAGGGCGTATTTCTTTGCCTGGGTCGGAGCGTTGATGTTGATGTCGAAAATGCCCTTTGAGGGCGAGGCTCGCTTGATCTCGGCCATAAGGGACACATCGAACGGGGTCTGGCGAAGGCGTTCAATGAATGAGACTTGAGGCGGGGCGGCATTGAGATCATACGCAGCCTGTAGATCCGCAGGCCTTTGCGAGGGGATAAGCTTCTGAGCTGCAACAGCAGCCTTCCGATGAGCGTAAATTTGCTGCAAGATATTGTTCTTCTTGCTCGCAGCCGGCGCAGATGATGTCGTCTTGGCAGCGGCGCCGTTGGTCGCGGAGCCCTTCTGAAGCCGACTGTTCTCCTCCCAAGTGCCACCTTGAAGTTGCAAAAAGTTTCGCAGCATAGTCCGACCCTCTGCGGTGAGGATGCTCTCGGGATGGAACTGAACACCCTCAATGGTGTACTCCTTGTGTCGCACGCCCTGAATGATACCGGGGGATCCGTCCTCTGTTGCAACCCAAGAAGTGACCTCCAAACAACCCGGAAGTGTTACACGCGTACCGGCTAGAGAGTGATAACGGGTAACTGGAAGACCTTGACGCAGGCCAGCATAGACACCCTTGGCATCGTGTGTCAAAGGAGACGTCTTTCCATGAAGCCACTCCCCTGCGGATCCGACCTCTCCACCGTAAACGTCAAATATGCACTGCTGTCCCATACAGACACCAAATATGGGGATCTTTCCGGAAAAGTGCTTAATGGCATCTCGACTGACTCCGGAATCCGTGGTGGGGTGTCCAGGTCCGGGACTAATGATCAACTGAGTTGGCTTCTTGTCAATCAGCTCTGCCAGCGTGATCTTGTCATTTCTGAAGACCGTCACATTCGCGCCTTCGAGAATGAGGTATTGGTAGACATTCCAGGTGAAAGAATCGTAGTTGTCGATCAAGATCAAGTTGGATGCCGTGGGAATTGGTGGCGAAGGGTCCGGATGCTGGGGTGAGTGATCGATGATATCCAAGGACGGCATCTTGGAAAATTGTACCGAAACCGCCGAAAAGTGAGTCAAATCAGCAAGGCGTTGCTAAGTTCTAGTGCCTCTTGTCAGGAAAAGTATCGCTTCGGTGGCAATGGCATTCGAGGTTTGAATGAGGTGAGTCAATGGGACGGGTTAAAATGAAGATAAAAAGGCGGCGACTCACTAAAGTTGATTGTCGCACAGTGAGTCGGTGAGTAATTTCAACTGTAAGAGGTGGTAGTCAAATGGGCAGAGCGTACAGTGCAGAGAAGCTCAAAAGGCAAGCTGCAATATACCCTGACAGGCCGCCCCGCCGCTATATCGCGATCCCGGCGCCCGGGACTGCCTATTGTGGCATTGTACCTAGAACGGGCGCTAAGACGGATATGACTTAGCGCCAGCTACCGGAAAAACCAAGGAAGTCGAGCTCACTTTTTTTGGGAGCTCCAATCAACCACCTGCAGAGAGGCTGCAAAAGCATTCGCGGGTCCAAGTGTGTACAAGCGCGTCCATTTGCTTTCTTTGCATCTCAGGCAACATAGCTCATCGCAGCCTCGCCTGATGCAGTCTGGACCTTGACTGCTCTGCCCAATCGACCTCTGCGGCAATGGCGCAAGTGGCAGACCGTCAATATTTTCCTCCTTTGGAGGAATGCTTGAATGGAGATACCATCATCATGTGGGTAGCCCTGCGTTTGTTGACTTGCTGATTGCCCGGAAAACTGATCCTCGACCTAGCTCCTGGAAGCTCATCGCAGCTGCACTGGCGGACAAAGATGACTCTAGGCGAAAGAGCGAAGCTGTTGTACAGTTCTTACAAGACGGCTTCGTACGAGCACTCATAAAACATCCGTCGACCGCCTTTGCGCCCCCGAGCGATACCACCAAGTCGAACTTCGAGACGAGGACCGCCGCTATACACGTCACCCCCAAACCGAACGACAAATTCGACATCAAGGTTATCAAGGAGGATGCGCAGTGGTTGAGCAAGAACGCCAAGGTCAACCTTGTTGCTGCGCTTCGCGCGACAGTCATCGAGTTCCAGTCGCGACCAGCAAGCCACCTTACTGGAACACTCTCCTCCCAGGATATAATCAACCTTCAGGAAGCCTCTGGCGTCGCAAACGTACAATCGTCATCTTTTGTCCCTATCGCTGGTGCCGCTCAGGATGCGGAGACGATCTGGGCCGAATTCGAAAAAGAGGAGTCAAGGCGACAACGGGTTTTCCAGACATATCTTGCCGAGAGACGCCACTTTTTGATGACTGCTGCGTTGGTACAGGAGACTGTGCTCTACACACAACCTTCAGCGCCAAGTTCTACGGCCGATCTTCCGACAACGACAACTCAATTGATCGCAACGAGCGAGCGTCCCAAATACCTCGAGGATCTCCTCACGACTTACTTGCAGTATGTCACTGAGGCTATCGGTCGACTGGCCGAGGGGCTCGAAGCAGTCGTAGAAGACAAGAGCCTGCTGGGAGAGGAAATTGAGCTGGAATGGATGCGGACGGCACTCACCGAAGTTGTACACGCCTTGTCGGTCGTCTTCCAGTCAGTCGATGGCAGCGGGGACTCTTTCGTACCATCCGCGGTGGTTGGTCAGTGGTTTTCCCTGATGGACAACTACGGATTTCTCAACGGGATTACTGCGGTGAGTAAACCAAGAATCAGACTTCTTTGGGAAGCCAGGACTAACACCAACCAGCCGACTGATGCCATTGCCTCCCTAATCATGCCCCTCAGGTCTCTCATTTCAGCCATATCTATCAAGCTCCTGAATCCTACACGATCCATCGATTGTCTCGCCGAAGAGGCCCCTGAATATCGCGGAGACGAGGATCCCTACATTACTGCTCCATCAGTCTTGGAGCAAGTCCACAATGCAATCCTCGCCGCAGCCAGTGCCGATTGCGAGAGCCAAAGCCCCATCATATTTGCATGGACCGTCGTTGTCCACCGCATGTTCTATTCGCACCACGACCGAATCGAGAAGCGGGATGCGCTGCAGAACCAGCGATCACAGGAGACTTTCGAGGCTGGTGTTCTCATTCGGCCCACCAACGCTCGCCGTCTTTCCGCGGGCAGCATTGTTTCTCTTGACGGCAAGTCGTTTGACATTTTCCTGGCCAACGCGGGTCTAGACAAGGACATGCAGGTCGTGGAGCAGCTGGCAGTAGCTGTCACATCACATGGACGGGCCTACGAAGTGTTGTCCGAGATGGCGCTGGCTATTGGAGCCTCCAGCGATGGAGCCTTTTCGGCGCTTTTGAGCTCCAGAATACGGCTGTCTTATGTCGACTTCCTCAAAGCCACATATCCTCTCGTAGGGTACCAGTCAGACTCTGTCACCTCACTCCTTTCGGCCTTAGGAGCTGGCCAGCAATACTGGGACCTTTCGAAGCCTTCGCTTCACTCTTCAAGCGACATCTTGGCCGAGGTGCTCCATGACGATGCTGCGCTTGAATATTACTTCCACCAGGCCCTCAATCGCTACCCGTTTGAGCTGCTGCCCTTCCTCAACCTTTGCCGGACTTTGGCAAACTGCACCGTCGTTGATGACCGGATGGACACGGTAGTCAACCTACTGCGCAAAACTCCATCACTCACCTTCATTCTCCCCGATGACTACCAACAATATGAGCTGGCTCAGGAGGAGGACAATACCAACACATTCTACCTGCTCGAAGATATACCGCTTTTCACACCTGCCACGGCATGGAATCGCAGAACTCGAGTGGACGATGCATTTAGGATACCCGCGGAAACAGTAGGACGCTTTGTGACAGATACAGGTCGCGTGGTTCTCATGGAGTATGAGCACTCTGCTCTTGCCTTGCTTGGCAAGAGGCTTGAAATCCAACTAGCACCTGAGACCTATCGCAGCGAGCTGGATGCGTTCCAGCCAGAGGAAACGGCAGAAACCATTGCTCTCTTAGCAACATTACTGCGCGCGGAGGTACTCAAGTCTGAGAAGCAAGGCTTGAGCGGCGAAACATCGCTCAAGTCGGGGCAAGATCTCTTGGAAGAGATTGGTAAGCACATCTCTGGGAACAAAGACCTTGTGGCGGTTGTCTGCGAAACCATGGATGCCTATATGCAAGACGAGAAGGCGGCCGAAGGACAGGGCATCGCAGTGCTCAACTCATGCGTTCAATTTCTACATGCAATCTTGCCACTTTGCCCGACGAGAGTTTGGTCCTACTTGGCGCGTTGCGAACTTCTCAACTCTGAAGCTCAAGCAGGAAAACTGGCAAAATTCACGGGCAACCTTGACCTGGTTGGGGATCGATATGAACTCTTGCTGTCGGCTGTACGGCTTTTCGCTAGTCTCATTGACAGCGTCAAAAGCAGTGCTGTTCAACGCAAATCTGGCAACAAGCTAGTTGGACGGCAGCAAGTATCAAACAATGTTTGGCTCGGCGTAGCGGACAAGGTCTTGGGCAAGGTCAGCCTCGCAATCGCTCAAGCCGCAGTCGATGTCTTTGAGACCTCCTCAACCTGGCGCTTCGGATCAGAGCTTCACAAAGCCCTGCTCATTCGGCATGTTGTCCCTGTCATGGATCAAATTATCGAGCACACGTACGGGATGGGTGATCAAGAGAGCGCGGATACGCTGGCGGCTTGCTTGGAACCCGCAGCGTCCTACATTATCGATGCGTTCCTCTCGCCCTCAACGGGATCTTTGAGGTTCCAGCCGCTCCTCACTACTTTGGTTAATGGCCTTCAAATCCCCGACTCGACCTTCTACCAAGATAGACTAGCCTCAGCCCAAGAGCAGCTCACATGCGTTTTACGGTTTACAACAACCTTGCTACGTGTTGCAAGTTACTTGGACCGACCATCGGCGACTTTCGAAGAACACCTGTTCAAGACGTCGTCGATCCTGGCAAGGTTATGTGCAATCTGCGAGCAATTCCGACGGCCAGCACTGCTACTCCTTGAGGCCCTGGTGTTGAGTGCTGCCAAAGCTCACGACGATCCTCCTTCTCTTCTGGGATACCTAGGTCCGCTCTTGTCCCGGTCGTTTATCGAAGTCTTGTCGCGACTCGATAAACCCTTCCTCGTTGCGAAAGATGTGCAGACAACGTGGAAATTCTTCTCCACGATCGTGCAGAACCGCCAGCAGTGGCTATCAAATTGTCTCTTGACGGGCAAGACGCCCAGAGATGCCCTCAAGGGCGTCAAAAAGGACGTCTCATCAACACCCACCTCGGTACTGGCGACAGCCTTCTCAAAGCTGAAGAAGATCAAGGAATTGGAGACAGGCGAGGCAGTCAGGATCCTTGATTTCGTTGCATCATCTCAGAACCATTGGCCTTGGACAATCTTCACCATGCAAAAAGATTCGTCGTTCTTGGACTCTTTGCGTCTTTATGTCAAGGACCTCAGCAGCTTCACAGTTACAAGCAAGACAGATGCTGTCAAGGCTGCCACGGATGCCAAAATGGCTGCTTACATTGCCGAGATCTTTGCCATGCAGCTCTATCACTTACGGCAGATGGGCGGTGCCGATACATTCGCCAAGAGCCTGGTGTCCGACTTGGACTACTATCTACGGGACGGCGTAGAAGTTTCGAGCTACAATACTTCTTTGCATAGCAACTTTGCCAAAAACTTCACAAGCAAGTACCCAGGAGTTTCCTTGGAAGCTTTCAAAAGGACGTCACTGCGGCCCGGCGAGCTTGGCAGAAGTTATTTCTATGACTTGGAGAGTGCAACTGAGATGCTGAGCTTCGATCCAGGCTGGCATGGTCGTCGCAACAATGGATTCCGCAATGAGATGGGGATCGCCAACGCCAACCTCTCCCTAGTCGACGCGCAGATTGTAAGTTTTCCACTTGAGCATCTTCCTACCCTTTCGGTTCGTACTAATATCACCGTAGTCGCTATTCCACGCGTGGGAATACCTGCTTCTCGAGCTCAGTAGCTCTCTTGCAGAAAACGAAACCATTGCCAGGCAAATGTTGCAAGTTGCGCAGCAATGTCTCGAGGCCAACCGGTCCAACCAAGGCCCGGAAAATATCTTCATGCGAATTGTCGAAGAGCGAGCTGATTTGAGTTTGCTTCTCGTCCAGCGTCTCGTTGGCCGTCCCATCTCATCTCACGACGTGAACCAGCTTCTGGGAACATTATTCACGATCATCAGCGCTGTCGAGGAACCCTTTAATCCGGACTCAATCTCGTACTACCGCACAATGCTCAAGGCCATCTACGTCATCTTGCGTGCGTATAGTGCTGCGGAGAAGAAATCCCTGGGAGCCTCGAAGAATGGAGGCGACGGCTTCTCGATCACACTCACTCAGACTGTCCTGAACCTTCTCGACCGAGTAGTAGCAAAGGGATTCAGAACGCTCGTTTCCCTTGTGCACGACTCCGAGGCTGCCGTTGCACCCGAGGACCTGGCTCTCCTAACGGCCATTCTGCAAGCTTGTCTCAACATGCCAACTATTGACCAATGCCAAACACAGATACTCAACATCATGGCATCATATGACGCGATGCACGCAGCGACATCACTATTCTCCTGGGCTGATAAACTTTCCGTCAACGGTGATCCGATCTACGGCGAGTTGAGCTTGCTCTTTTTGCTAGAGCTTTCTACCCTGCCGGCCGTGGCAGAACAAATGGCCTGCGATGGCTTGCTGAGCCACCTTACTTCAGCAGGCATCACCAACTTTATGCGCCGCGGAAACATCTCTCCCTTTTCGGAAGCTGTTGGACCCCAGCGATGCTACAGCATCTGGGTCAAGGGTGTTTTGCCTCTATTGCTGAATCTGCTCACTGCCCTGGGCGGAACGGTTGCGCCGGAACTTGGTTACGTTCTAAATCAGTTCCCTCTGCTCCTCAAGTCTAGCGTTGACCGATTCGAGGCTCCTGGCGCCAGTCGTACGGCATCGAGAGAGACGCCGCACTACGTGACGCTTCTTTCAGTATCAGAGGTCCACTCTCTGGCTCTGTTGACGAGAGTTATTGCCGCTCTGCGTACGGCCAACAACCGGGACATCCCGGAGATCCAGTGGGATGCTGCTTCTCTTTTGGAAAATATTGACTTTTGGCTGTCGAGCCGCAAGTTATTGCGTGACAGACTTCTGCCGCTGGGTCAGCGTGAGGTGGAGTGGAAGAGCATCAAAACTGGCGCGTCCGATGAGAGTGGCCAGCCAGGAAATGTTCTGGAGAGCAAGGTCCTCTCGCAGTTGGAGGCCGTGAGGGATGTGTTGAGCGAAGACCTCGAAGAGTCTTGAGCAAGGATGCAGGGGCTGTTGAGATAGAAATAATGAGCCGAGGGGAATTATCGTCGGTCAAAAGGAAATGAATGAATCGGAGGGGGAACAACGACACAAAAAAGGGTTTAGGCGTTCAAGTGTGTAGGATAAACGTGGGTGCATCATACCTATTCCAGCCATCGTCACTGGGAACCCCATAGTCTACGTAGGATCAAATTCGCGGATACCCCTGGCAGATTGCTGGGTACGACCAAAATGACGCCCTCTTTCAACGTGATTCTTGGCTCACGGATTGGTGACATGCAAGCAAACAGTCTCAACAGCTCATGGAGTAGATATTTTGTCCATTCGTTCTCTCCCTTCATTGAGCGGTGTTTATTCCACACCCGCCAAAAGTGCCATGCCACGTCTATCCACCGGCCGGGGGAAAGAAAAAGTAACACAATGTAATATACAGGAAACCCTCCTCGTCCGTGGTTGTCGTTCCCAACTCACTCGCCTGGCTTCGTTATTTTGGAGATCGTGTGTGTGGTAGATGTTGCAAATCCCCAGGCCTTCTCCCCCACCGACTGGTTTTGCCTGCCTGCCTTGCTGGGAATAGTGTTACATCAGCTCGCGCGCGCGCGCGCGCGCGAGCTCGTCCGAGATCTCCTTTATCGAACACCGTTCTGCGTGCCATTCTCTTCTTCTCTTTTTTACATCATTTTGGTCTCTGTCTTGTGGCGTCAAGCTTTCTTTACTGTCCCTGCATCTGGGCCGTCATCTGGGCGTTGTGCTCCTGGAAGCGCTCGCTGAGGCGCTGCTGGGAGAACATCTGCTTCTGGATGCAGCGGGTGATACAGCCGGTCTCGCGGGAGGAGAGGGACTTTGAGGTGAAGTCGTCGATGCACGAGGTGAAGCAGTGGTCGACGAGGTTGCCAAAGAGCTGGAGGAGGAGAGATTATCGGGTTAGCCCAAAAGCCTAGAGTTTTATCGCTTTTTCAAACAGCGATCGAGGGAAATCATAGAAACGGGGTTGTAGGGTTGTTGCTGTGTAAATAGGAATCGGGAAGTTGAAGAGAGACGTACGTTCATGAACTCCTTGACCTGGCGCTTCTGAAGTCTCTGCTGGAGCTGGGCCTCCTCGGTCTTGGTAAGGCTGGTTAAAAGGGAATGCGCGTTAGTCGATACTTTCTCCGTCTCCGATCTTTCCTGGCTTCGTCCAGGGGGGGAACAAGCTTACGCGTCCATTTTTGATATGTGTTTGATTCGATGAAGTCGTGAATTTGACGGGATATATGCGAGGTCGTTGGGGGGGCTTTTCGTGATGGAAGTTGTGGTTGATTCGGGGAGCGATGACGATGTTAGAAATTTCTTTGGTTAAAGCACTTCCCCAGCAGCAGCGCTGCGCGGAACGGGATAGCAGGCAAGCTTGCCTTGCCCCTGGTCAGTACCGGCCAATCAGATCTCGAAAGATTGGGCGTTGTTGGAGCTCCGATAACGATAAGACCGTATCGGAATTTCAATTGGAGCTTCACCTCGGATAGATGCATGAGCTTCAATGGGAATGCAGTTGCGCGAGAAGTCCCTGCCTTTATCATAGCGAAGCGCAACTTCCGTATTAGGCTTTAGTCGATCGAAGAGGAAGGAGCGTTAGCTATATTCAAGAGGTTCTGCTTTACTTCGAACGCCGGGCCAATGTTGGTTCTCATCCGACACTCGCGAGTTCTCTCTCTTCGAATCTTTGACCTCGGCAGTCAATCCCAAAAAACCAGTCTCAAATCGAGATTCCCGAGCTATCATGTTTGTTTGTTTGTTATTACAGACGCAGCATGTACATTGAACTAGGTGTTGATTTCTTTAACATGAAGAAAATCTCAAATATTGTGTAAATAGACTATACCCACGTCGCCCTATATCCAATCCCGAAGCTGCAGAGTCCAGTGACATCTCGCCAGGGGTATCAATCCTAAATATATACATAGGTTCGGAAGAAGAGAAGACATTACCATTTCACATCGAGTCCGCCGGGTATCCAAGAAAAAAAAGACCCGGCCGCGTATAACGATGCGGCCGAGCTGCCGAGAGCCAGAAAGGGGGGGAAGCGGAGAGAGGCCACTACAGAGACCAGACCCCCTTACATGACAATACAGCAAGCCTTCTCCAGTTTCTTGAGAATCTTGACGACCAAGTCGCCAGTCTCGTCCTGGTCTTGCTGCTGGTTCTGGCCGCCGTGGTGTTGCTGCTGTCCGCCGTGATGCTGCTGCTGGCCGCCATGGTGAGGCTGCTGCTGGCCGCCATGGTGAGGCTGCTGCTGCTGGCCTCCTCCGTGATGCTGCTGTCCACCACCTCCAGTGTGAGGCGGCGGCGGCATAGTCGCGTCGCCGCCTTGGAGGTTGATGTAGATCCGGCCCGCGTTCTCCTCGGTCGAGTACTTGAGCCCCATCTCGCGGCAAATGGCCTCGATTCTCGGCTTCAGCTTCTGCACGTGGCCCGTCGAGTGGTTTCCCTTGCCGACAATGGCGTGCAAGTGTTCCTGGCCCCGAGCTCTGTCGGCACGGATGCGCTCCTCGAGGATACGCTCCGCCTCCTCGACGTATTGCCCGTGCAGGTCGACGCAGCTGCCCGTGATGCGGTCGGCGGCGTTGTTCTCTCGGTAGATGAACTCGGACGCCTGGCGGTTGTAGTCCTCCATCTTTTGCGCGTGGCGCTTGCCCTCGTTGGAGAGCTCCTTTGCGGCCGCGCCATCGCCGGACTGGTAGGCTTGTTGGGACTGGAGAGAACATCGATCGAGGGTGTTAGCTTTCGCGGCATCACACAAAACTCAAAACCACGTGTTTCTGAACAAGGCTTCGGTTTGGGTTTTGGGCACTTACGCGCTCAAAGGCCTGGTTGCGCTTGTTGGCTTCCTCGCGGGCTAGGTCGCGGAGGCGATCGTACTCGCGCTCCGTGTCGTCGTCGTCGTTATCGGCGTGGCTGAAGGCTGCAACGGTTATGCTCATGTCAGCGCGCGTCCGGTCTCCAGATGTCGAGCCATGTTGAACAGCATTGTCTTTATCCAGGCTGTTTGTGGCGGTCTCGGATTTCAAGCCACGGCTCCAGGAGGATTCGAAAACGAAACATGGCGAAGATGCTTACCGCGGCCACCCAGGCGGTTCATAGGGATAGACATGTTTGCCCGTTTGCGCGCTCAATCGACTTCAAGACGCTGTCCGTGATGAAATTGGCAGAGGAATGTAGAAGAAGTGATGCGGCCGCAAGCAAGACAAGCTTCCAGTCGCGTCAAAATGCGGGCAGAGAGGTTGGTAGGACGGCGCTAAGCAAGCTTGTTTTTCGGTGCCGGCAACGTAATTGCGGGGCTCTGCTCCGGCCGATGACGCTTGTGCTGGCCGGTCCGGCTTCCGTCTCTGGCTGCCCGGTGCAGTGCGGTTCAACCCGATGACCGGTACCATGATGGGCCACTCTCTAATTACGCTCCATCTTGATCCATCAGTCTACAGCTAGTTCGCGTTTCTGTGCCGTGTAGTCTGCGTCTGGGGACGCACGAGTTCGCCTCAAATAGCTTGTGTGATCTACAGGGGCAGAAGCCGTGCTGGGACATCCTTCGAACTCGCAAGGCGGCTGAGAACGCCACAGGCATCGCTTGGACCCGTGCTCTGGTTGGTGGCGCTTTACAGTGTGTTCCGCGGTTTCTATGTGTGTGTCTCCAAGGTACCATTGTTTCTTGCGCCTTCCAATTGCCCTGGATCAAATCATCCGCATAACAGAGCAGTCTCGAGCACACGGCTTAGAGGCTTCGTTTCACAGCTTTTCGGATCCACGAGGATCTAGTCCCGTCCGAAACAAAACTCGAACAGCCGGAGTGGAAGACGATACCGACAATGGCCAACGAAGGAGCGCTGGAGTCATGGATTCGACGGCAGCTCGTCTGTATGATGTGCCAGACGGTGGTTACACAAGAGGCAGGCTCAGGGGCGGAAAGCTTCTGTGGGCCCTTCTAGAACATCCCGTCTTCTTTTTCTTCTTCGATTTTCTCCCTTCCGGATACTTCAGCATCCAATACTCCATAACAGGAGAAAACCAATCGTCAGTAGCAAAGGTCAAAGCACCCGCCGTCCGAACTAGCCGACCAAAATCCAGATGGAATAATGACGATTTTCCGAGAAAGGTAATATTTACCAGGGGAGGCTTCAGGGGAACAGCAGATGATCGTAAGAGGATGCCGCTCACACTACAACGACCTTGCAGAGCAGCATCTTCGTACCTGCATGACATGCAAGAGAACGACGCGCAGGGTGTGCTCCATCTGCCGACTTTTTAGTGCGTGTTCAACAACTGTGTCCACTGCTATTCGTCCACTCAAGGCACTTGCACTGGGTCGGCGGCAAAGGCAAGACGACCTTGACGACGAAGACGGTGTGTGTGGATGGGACCGGGCCTCGGAAACGAAGAGAACCTCCACAATTCTGGGCCCTCTTCAATTAAAAAGAGCTCTCTCGTGATCCCGCGTGGAACGACTTTTGCGACTCCACAGATTTGCCTCTTCAGGCATGCGATTACTATGAGCCTCCCAGCGTCTGCCAATGGCTTGGATGGATCCTGCTTTGCTTTGAGGAAAAGGGAGCTCGTCCGCCATGTGGCCTCCCTGTACCAGGCGGGAATAGTTTCTCTGGTAGTTTCCGACCGGCTGCCTGCAATGCATCTAGTGAATGTGCGAAATTACCTTATTTCGGATCTGAAATGTCTAGGCACGCCAGCTCGTCGATTCCTTCTATTGGTTCCCCTTGAGCGACAGCTTTTGACGGCGTGCTTGTCAAGTCTTTGGCACAACGGCTGCTGAAGCCTTGGTCTGCAAAAGCCGACAAGCCGCTTCTAGTTTGTATGTCTGAAGCCGCTTGTCCCAGCACACTGCAGAGAATCTCGTCTTTGAGGCGTCGGGTGGATAGCGAGAGGCAAGAAGTCTGGACTCTGAATTGCAACATATGAGGGACCAGAGCAAGGGCTATCCATTGCATGAAATACTGAGAATCCACTTCAGACCGCATTTTCGACAGTGAGGATAGCGTTACCCGGTACGGATACCTTAAGACAGGGGCGTATTCTCGATAGCCCCGTTGTGCCCCCCCAGGAAACCGTCCAAAACTTGGTGATGATCGACAAGTCCAAACAGGTTCGGGAAGCGCACGCCTGCAGGTCAGCGGAATGGAACCCCAAGATCACTGTCCGATCTTTCTGTGCCTACCTCGAGGGGTCTCGTCCCCTCCGTTTCTAGCTGGCAATCGTAGTATCGTAACGCAGATGAGATTCGCAACGACCAGACTGTGTTTATGTGTACAGCTACCAGCAGGAGTGGATGATATTTGCCCTTGCATGGTCGGCTAAGATGGCTTGGTGTTTCAAGGCAGCTAAAATGGTGGGGTCTAACCGTCCCAAACTCCAGGCTTTGGCTCTCGCTGCACTGAGCGGCGGGCTGAGAAATGCTCTCTCCAGATGTGTCAGCGCGTATGTTGAATCTGACATGAAAGACGTGATAATCTGTGCGCTCTGTAAGGGTTTAGACGCAAAGACGAAGCGCCGAATGCTCTGGGCCCCAGACGGCTCTCCCCGGGGATTCCGCGAGTGGATGCCGCTTCTGGTCTGTTTGCTCTGTTGTTTGCTTTCCAGAGAAGTAAGTTTCCACGCTTTAACTCGGCCGATTGAGAGGGTGGCTCTGGCAGCGTGACAAGTCGTAGCGTCCATCTCGATACCGTGACTTGCGCTTAATGTGGTGTTTAGCTCTCGATACATGATCATGGTCGTGTGGCGCAATTATTGGCTGGCTCAATGATTGTCCTACAAGTACCATTTCCAAGATCTAAGCCATCGAGGCGCTCTGGCTGCCAATCAATGCAGTAGAGCCGAGTCAGAATGAACGATGTCTCTCTTTGAGCTTCACAGCTTCGTCTATTGCCGAACACCTTGCTTCGGTGGCTTTCCTAGTGCGGAGCCTGCCTTGCCCGATGCTCAGACACGGCCGAGCGATTCTTTGTACAGACGTTGAAGTCGATTTTTCGGGTCCAAGAAAGCCGTGCGTCAATCGAGACCTGAATCCCGGAACAGATTATCGTGTTCCGACGTAGATCTGGTTTACTGGCAGGATCTTGTCAGTACTAGTCTTCGGTCCGCGCGATGATACCAAGTGTGAGCAGAATCGTGTGTAGCCGTACTCCAGCCTGAAGTCATATGCAGGCGAATCACATCGGCGGCAGCTTGCAGCAAGAGTAGCAAGCGGCTGAGGGCATATGCGAAGGAACGAGTGGCCTGGTAAAAAGCAAACATCTCGGACTGAGTCGGAGGCCCCAAGTCGTTGGAAACTTGGGAAGAGTCAAACTGTGCGATACGATGACCAGCCGCAAACAATGCTGTTGTTGTCGACAATTTCTTTGATGATGGGGTCGGGGAGAAGAAAAGTCGACATAGAGTCTTGTCTTCCCGGGATAATAACAACCCCCAACGTGAGCCGGCCAAGACATTGTCCAGACAGTCAAGATTGAAGCTGATGTTGAACAGGTAGTCGAGGCGTTGGACGCCACTTCCCCTGATGATTGGATTTGTGTGTGTATGCCTGGGTACCGACTGCTTGCCCTTTCCCAGTCGTGTTTGCTTCTTGCTTCTGGAAATTTTGCGCCACGCGCTGACAAGAGATTCCTAAGTGAGACGATCTTCGAAGCAAACACATGGGCAATGGCAAGCAAGCTACTGTTCTGATCATCTCGCCTTTGAACACATTTTAGAGTCTTGTAATTTGCCCTAGACGACGATCTCGTCAAGGAGATAATGCTAGACCAGTCCGATAGACAGCGTGTGGTATACAAGAGGTGGAGCGGCCAAACATCGCAAGTGGATGCAGGGAGTGAACAGGGAGGCGAGAATTCTAACGATGACCTGATATCAGGGCATTCCGAGATTCCGATGTCTATCCCAATATGCGCAAGAAGGTGTTCGAGAAGTGGCTGCGCACTTGGTTTCCCGGGTCTGACGGGGTAGGTATCGTTGATGCCATATGTGGTGGCAGAGACGCTTGCACGGACCTAGAATCGCGATGATGAAAGTAAGCGCCGTGACCGTGGGACCGTAGCTCCGATGCGGGCCCGGTTCTTTCTGGTGGATGAAAGAGAACTAGAGCGATGGACCGGTCCATTGGCGTCTGGCTCTTTTTTGAGTTGACAGCATGAGTTCCCACTCCGAAGCAGAGAAGAAAGGGAATGCTACTTGCACTCATGCAGCTTAGTCCTACTTTGATGGAAAGCTGTCTTTGCTGAGGTAGTGGGTTCTTTGTCCCACCTCGAAAGTCGTGGTCTGTCTTCTAAGTCGAGGCAGTGCAGACTGGAGAAGCGTTTTCGGACGAATCAAAAGGTGACGGCCGAGTGTAAGGAGAGTTTGGGTCCTTTACTTGTTTGCTTGGTAAGTGTGCAATGCAGTTTGGCGTCCAACTAATATCCAGATCCAGATCTGTACATGCCAACGAATATGTAGGGCATAGGTCTGGTAGGTACTCCGTGCTCCATAGGCAGAGAGGCCGCGGCCGTAGATCTTGTGGAGGACCCGGAACGTGTGGATAGGATCTTGCCCGCGGCAACCACTCCGGTAACCTCCTTACATCAAGGAGGCGGCTGACGAGGACAGTTGTGTTTCAAGAACTGCGATGGAAGTTTTGATCGAAGGAGTTGTTCAAATTCCAATGTTCCATTACACATCCATGTTGGGCAGGTGGTGGATGGGTGGATCTATCGTCTGCTTGACCGCGTTGGATGGTCTGGCGTTGGCTGCAGCTGCAGGCTCTGGTGCAGATGGTTGCGAAAAAGGAAGCGTGCAGATTTTCTTCTCCTTGGTTGGGACTGGTACTGAGCCCGCCCCCCGACTCCCGAGTCCTCCACATCCGCAAGTGCTACTGCCGGTCGGCAGAGGATGGGTCGTCGGGTGCTTGTAGAACTCGCACCCGTAGGAATCATCGTGATGTTTTCTAGCCGTGATAGACGGCGAACCATGAATCTGCCAAATGGACGTCAGCTAAGAACAATATGTCAAAGTTCCCGTTCGTATTGGCATTGGCTCGTGCTTCTCACCTAATTATTGTTCCTAGACCAGTCACCAAGGTGGCTTGATCCATATTAACTACCACACAGCAACAAATTGTATTCGTACCAGTAGTCTAGAAGAGACAAGGAGTCCCATTGCAGTTAGCGGATTCGTACCCGGCCGAAGACAGAGCTCACACAGGGCCCAGAGAGGCCATCTCCGTGCCTGGTCTGTGGTCAGCGGTAGCGCGAGGAAATTTTACATTAGTCAGGGCGGCGAACAAGGAGTTTTCGGACCAGTCAGGCCAGGCAAACCAGTGCGAGACCCCTTTTCCCTGTTCTTTTCCCGCCCCGGGACGCCAGGGACGCCAGAGTCCAGGGGACTTCGGCTTCGTTGCGGGCAACTTCTGGCTGGATGAGACCTCGCCGAGCTCCTCTCCACTGGTCATTGGCCCGGCCGCGGTGATTTCGACGTTGCAAAGGCCTAGGTGCGGATCCACGCCCGCTGGAAGACACTCCTGGTCGTCGTCTCCGTCTAGGTCTAGCAGGTTGTCGTCGATTGGTTGACGAGGTCCCTGTCCGTCTGGTCGTGTGTTTCTGACAATTGGACAATAGCAGAGCGTATGCGTAGGTACTGGACGGGTACAAAGTACAAAGCATCCATCACATCGGCTTCCCGATCTGCGGTGCCTCTAACCGCATCTCTCAGTGTCAGCTCGGGGAGAGAAGACGGCGCTGAACATGGACGTTAGCTTAGCTCAGGAAAAAGACGAGACAGGCGATGACAGGACAAACCTAAGACAATAGGAAGGGCAGGACAGAGAACTGGGGCTAAATGCATCAAGGAGTACGTACCTGTCCTTATGTAAGGCGATATATCATATAAAGCAGGTACTGGTGGATACGTACCGGGCCGCACCAGAGACAGCTTAGCACCAAAATCAAGGCCAGGACATGTACTAAGTGCTCCGTACCTTGTCCGTGCTTCTGGAACTCCCAGCCCCTGTTGGCCCCTGCACTAAAGCCAGAGGGACGCGCCGTACGGATAGGTACCTAGCTGGATATTCGCGTCCAGGACATTGTTCACACCGCACATACTTACCATGCTCCTGACCTTGCGCTCTGCCAGCAAGCTTTTCATATCAAGTTTTTCTGAAAGCCATGAGAGTTATCATAATCCGATGGAACTTGGATTGCAATAATTGAGGAGAGTACGAGCTGGTAATGAGTTGAGACCAAGTGAGCCCGAGTTTGAGGTGTAAAGTACCTACGTGTTGCCGCGCACTGGCCACGGGGAGGAGCCTCCAGCGTCCCCCACCAAGCTGCTTCAGCGTCGAGGACGCCCGGCGATGGCCCCCAAAAAGCCCCTAGTCTCACTGCCAATTCCTCCATTACGGCCAGGTACGTCGGGGCTGTCAATCTGAAGTCCAAAAGAACGGGACGCCTCCCATCGGTAGACAGTAACGCACTGGGTAAGGTACCTACTCCGTCCACAACCTAGGTAGACACTGGACAGGTGGGCTGGCACCACTGCCACTGGTTCCCTCCGTGCCCCCTTCCCCCGTGCTCCCCCCCCCCAGTGTCCCCCTCCTCATTGTCCACCAACTTGGAAAGACAGCCCAATTCGCCATTTCCTCGCCTCCGCCGTGCCTCTTTCCTTTCCTTTTCACACAGTATACTTTCATCCCCGTACCTCGCCCCGAAGCGCATTGTCCGCCCCGGCGACGACTGCCGCCCACTCTTTTTTCTCCCACTATCCTCTGGTTCCTCGCAGCACCGTCGCCGCCATCCTTGCTCATAACTCCTCCACCCTTGCCCTTTCCCATCCCTCCTCTCCACATTAGAGGCACCTCCCAACCCATTCCTCTCTTTTCTCTCTCCCTCTCCTGCTCCTGGTCTTCCAATCCTGTCGCGACCTTCCCATCCTCCCACCGTCCGTCCAACGGCTCGTGTTTTCTTTTCCTGTTTGCTGCGTTTTCCACTCATCGTCAATTGATTGACCCCATCATCAATCCAAAGACCAAGAGGTGAGTTTCAACAAAATCCTTTCCCTACCGCATGCAGGCGAAAGTGAGAGAGACATGCACCACGAATCCTCCTACTTTGCTGGCGCCGACTTCGAGCCATTGGGAATTGAGAAAGCGAAACGAACGAGACACCAGAAGAGACAGCCTAGAAAGGAGAAACACCACCCGCCCGCTCGCTCGATGCTAGCATCCTCCCTCGACCTTGCCTTTCGACTCTTCGCCCTCTTATCCGCCATCGCCTGGATCAACTTCGCATTCCAGCCCGTCGCCCCCAAACAATTCGACCCGTCTCTCTCGTTCGCCCGCCGGCATCACACCCACCTGCGACCTGGTTGGCTAACAAGCTTTGCTTCTTTCAGGTCCCCTCCAACGCGCAACGCCCGATTCTTTGCGGAATCCCCAATTCACTTTAATCCCATCAATTTTATTCTACCAGTCGTCGTTTCCAACGACACCAAGCCGCCAAAATGGGTTGCGGAATGAGCACGGAGGACAAGGAGGGCAAGGCCCGCAACGAGGAGATCGAGAACCAGCTGAAGAGGGACAAGATGATGCAGCGCAACGAGATCAAGATGCTTCTTCTGGGTAAGTCAACATCTGCCTGCGATAGCCTGTCCTTTGCGCTGCATGCCCAATGCCATCAGACGACATTCAACCATCGCATCGCTGCACAATGATTCTCTAACAGTCATATAGGTGCTGGTGAATCCGGAAAGTCGACAATTCTGAAACAGATGAAGCTGATCCACGAGGGCGGTTACTCACGCGATGAACGGGAATCCTTCAAGGAGATCATCTTTAGCAACACGGTGCAATCCATGCGTGTCATTCTCGAGGCAATGGAGTCCTTGGAGCTTCCCCTTGAGGACCAGCGCATGGAGTACCACGTCCAGACCATCTTCATGCAGCCCGCCCAGATCGAGGGCGATGTTCTGCCTCCCGAAGTTGGAAGCGCGATTGAGGCGCTGTGGAAGGACCGAGGTGTGCAAGAGTGCTTTAAGCGCTCTCGCGAATACCAGCTCAACGATTCGGCAAGATAGTAAGTGGCCGCTCGTCAGGCTTAAAATCGCCAATTACCATGTGCGCTAACAAAACCTAGCTATTTCGACAATATCGCGCGTATCGCCGCCCCCGACTACATGCCCAACGACCAGGATGTCCTCCGATCGCGTGTCAAGACAACGGGTATCACAGAAACCACATTCATCATTGGCGACCTGACCTACAGAATGTTCGATGTCGGTGGTCAACGATCTGAGCGAAAGAAGTGGATTCACTGCTTCGAGAACGTCACTACCATTCTCTTCCTGGTCGCCATTTCCGAGTACGACCAACTGCTATTTGAGGACGAGACTGTCAACCGTATGCAGGAGGCCCTGACCCTGTTCGACTCCATCTGCAACTCTAGATGGTTCATCAAGACGTCTATCATCCTCTTCTTGAACAAGATCGATCGCTTCAAGGAGAAGCTCCCCGTCAGCCCGATGAAGAACTACTTCCCCGACTACGAGGGTGGAGATGACTATGCTGCTGCATGCGACTATATCCTCAACCGATTCGTCAGCTTGAACCAGCATGAGACCAAGCAAATCTACACGCACTTTACCTGCGCGACAGACACAACCCAAATCCGCTTCGTCATGGCGGCAGTGAATGGTAGTCCAATGTTCACCACACACTGCGTGAGACAAAGCGCACAAAGAGACCCAAGCTAACTTTTTAACCAGACATCATCATTCAAGAGAACCTGCGGTTGTGCGGCCTGATTTGAACAACAAAAACGTTTGCTTTTTCTACAATACCCTTTACTTCTAATTGCATGACCCAAGCCAGAAAGCGTTGTGGGGAGGCTGGCTCATGAAATTAACTTTCTTCCCAACGATGAGACGGCGACCCGACGGTTTCCCAAGATTCCCTTGATTACGCGACTGTATTTTTCTTCCTACCTCTCGGCTATCCCCCCGTATATTGCCTCGCGATTCAGGCGGTATACGTTTTTGGTTGTGCTCTTGTTGGCCCGCGTTCAGGAATAAGAGGGGAAAGGTGGGAGGTAGTCTTGTACCAAACATGATGTCTCGACCAGTAGACGGGCTCGCCGCGGAAGATGGAATCCCACTGTGGCCGGGCAGCGGCAGTGGGAAAGTCAGATGGGGGGGCAGGAGAGAGCGAGATGGAAAGGTGGCCCCCAAGGATGGATAGCAAGAGGAAAAGAAGCAATGAACT